TAACTACTACTACTATAGTAGTACTAACGTAGACGTACGTACGTACTAGTAGTACTCGTACTCTCTATAGTACGTATATATACTATATATATATATATATATATATATATATATATATATATATATATATATATATAACTCCTACTGCCATTTGTCATACACCTCTGAGTATCTTGAGACGCTTTACCGATTTGATAAAAGTCCTGCACAAGAAACACACCAAGAACAAGACATTAATACTTAATTAATAAAATGAGTTAATTGGATCGATGAGCAAAATTCTAGGAAAAAGTTTTCACAAGATGGGTAACCTTGAAATGTAGAGTCTTTGATGCGCCTCAAAAATCTATCGAAAAAAGGTTGTTTTAATGTTGGAAAACCCTTTCATTGTTCATCTTTCGACATCGTTCATCTCTCGACATCGAGATGCCAACATGTACGAATATGAAAAAAAAAAGATTTTAAGTTCTAAAAATAATAAATGTTATAACACATAATCTAAAGCACCCATTTCCATATGTTTATAGATGTGTTTGATTTTTAATCCTAATAATCTTTTACACTAAAATTACATATTATGCTGCAACCTCACAGAAACCACACCCAAATTCTATTTATTGCCTTATAAAGAGAAAATTGACACTTACTCCCATGGAACATCACCGACAAGCATCCAGTCTCCCTCTCTATCTTCGTAAGTGAGGATGCACTGAGGGCAACAAACCGTTCCATCCTCTTTGTTTTTCTCATCTGCGGTACCACAAAACAAGTGAAAAAGTGGCACTTTGTTAGTTTAGCCTAGTGTAAGGAAATAGAAATTAAAGATAGTAAAACATCTAGAGAGAGACACAAATCAGGCTTTAAGTAGGGGTGGCAATGGGTCGGATACGGTCGGGGTTGACCCGGTCGGGCAAGAGACCCAAACAGGGGTGGCAATGGGTCGGAACAGGTCCGGGTTGACTCAACAACCCGGGCGGTTTCCCAGGGTGACTACACACTCTAAGCCGGTTTGAGAGTCTGGTTCTTAGTTGGACCGGGCCGATCTTGCAGAGATGGACCGGCCGATTTTACAAACATTGGATTGCAAAGCGGGACCGGCCGATGTTGTAGAGATGGACCTGCCGATTTTGCAAACACTGGATTGCAAAGTGGGACCGGCCGATTTTACAAACACTGGATTACATGGAATGCGTTGTGGTGATGTAGAGAGAGAGCTTACGCTTGCCAAACATGTCCTCAAGCGCATGGGCAAGAGAGGAGTAAGAGTGGTGAAGATTGAGGTCGATTTTACGGCCTATGCCCACTCCCTCCATGTTCACCTTCACATAAAAAGAAGAACCTCGCCCCACTTTCCTGCAAGACTTAACGGGCGGCCAACCAACCATCACCTCCTTCTTCCTCTCCTCCTCCTCCTCTTCAGCCTTGCGGCGGTTGTCGTCGTTCCACATAAAGAGGGGCAATGTTGGGTCATCATCAAATGCCTCATAGAAATCCCTCTTCTTCTTATTATCTTTATCATTTAAATTACGACCACCAATTACTCCTTTTTCTTCATCTTTGCAAGATAATGGATAGGTGGTCCTTCCCATTCCTTCACCTGGAACCAGCAGCAACCCAAGGAAAGCATGAGTTCAAAATTAGCCTAACAAGAAATCCTAAAGGAAACCATGAGTTCAAAATTAGCCTAATAAGAAACCCTAAAAATTGTGTTTGTGCTGTGCATATGAGAGAGAGGGAGAGAGAGATTTCGTGCCTCGGAGCATCGGATTGGGGAGGATCGAATTGGGGAGGCTAAGAGCGAGATCGAGCTCCATTTGTTTGCAGCAAACACCATGTAGCAGAGAGAGAGAGAGAAAATCAAGAGATGAAAGCAAGGCGGTTAGATGATGCGATTCCTCCTATATATATATATATATATATATATTTCTCCTGCGCAGAGTGAAAGGAAAGGGAAGATGAAGAAAGAGAGGAAAGAGAGGAAACAGACATGAAAGGGACAGAAATGCAAGGAGGATTCGAGACATCCCGACAAAAGCCCCGCGGAGGACCGACAGCTGTGGGCTGCAACAGCCGCGCGATGTGCCCTTGCCTGCCCCCCTTTTCCCCGACCCCCCCCTCGCCACATACCCACCTCTTTAATCTATTCTGTTAACCTTCTCTCAACACACAAAAAATGAAAAAACAAAAGAAAAATAAAACTCAATTGCACGTTTAATTAGTGTTGAGAAATGTGATGAAAGTGTAGAGAAATATGGTTTTAATTCCGAAAAATATTTTTTGATAGCTTTCGAAAATATATCTTCATCTCTAGTTATAAAATTTGAAACTTAAAATATACGGTGGTAGACCGAGCACATATATGAAAACATAAAAATCTTCAAAATTTACGCTCTGAATGTACATTGCAGAATTCACTATTTTCAAAACTTAAAATATATTTTTTTCTCATGTCCATTCATCTTGATTCTCTATTTAGGCATCAAAACAATCTTTTTTTGTGAAATTTTTGAGGTGTGCTCTAATTTGATTGTTTAAAGTCTCCGCTTCATATAATTTTTTTTTTAAAAAAAAGAGTAATAATCCTACGAGACCCATCCATACTCATGTGTGTAAGACCTCAAAAGATCTCTATTAAATTTAATACAGATCTCTAGAAAAATCAAGTCATATAGCCATGTGAAACTTTTCTGGAGATCTGTATTAAATGTAATGATGATCATTTGAAGTCATATACACATTAATATAGAAAGATCTCATAGGACCACTACTCTTAAAAAAAAAATCTCAATTCTCTCTCTTAAAAAACCATTCTCTCCCTAAACAAGAGGGTGAGTCTAACTTTGGGTGCATCCTTTTCAAGGTCTGGGGTTATTTGGTATGGTGTGTCTCCTTCTCTCTCACTTTCCCATGCGTGGATGTCAACGTCCCTTACTTCCTTTCGCCCGTGTACCCACTTCATGTTGTACATACAAAAAAGTATAATATGATGTGGCTACGACGTGCATCGTGTTGTACACGCACAAATGGAGGGTTATGTTTCACTGTTACTTACATTGGACGACACGTGTGAAGAGCCTCACGTGAATATTGCACGTGGTTTGCCAGCTGCATGGGAGCCGCTCGACCGTCCACTCGTGGGATGAAATTTCTTTGGTTTTAATACAATAATTGATCAATTGTTCCATTTTATGCGGAGAACAAATAATCAAGGACGTATTCAAGATTGGTTGAGTTTACACGTTTGATTCGCTGAAAATGTTTTCTAAAAAATATTTTTATATAAAAATATTGTTCTATGATTAAGTGTGAGAATATTTTTGTATTAATCGGTTTTAATACATCTTATCACATCGATTGATAACTAATTGATGTAAAAATATTCTTAAACTTTGACCACAAATTTTTTTTTTCATATGAAAATATTTTAAGCCAATCAAATGTGTTTCCATGGGAAGTTGATCAAGGAAAAGTGGGTAAGTTCTCAAGTTTAGGATAACATCTAAAACCATTATTTTATAAGAAATTAGTCACTTGATAATGGCTCAATTGAACCTCTCTAAAGTTGGAAAGGGTTGTTTGAGTCCAGGTGGTTTTTGTAGACTGTAGACTGTTTACCCGCGTATACAAGGCAAGAGATTTTGCAGCATAACGATAGGGCACATTTGTTTAATTTATTAGTATATAAAACTTGTATATCAGCATGGAGAAGTATTTGTACACAAAAGTAGGCAGGTTATTTAGAAATCAACCCAACACCGGAAAAAATTAAAGTACCATCGGAAATGTAGGGTTAACAAGGGGCCAGACTTTGCTCTAAAAAAGTCGGGCATGTGACACAAGGGCTAAGGACAAATGCCCTTATAGTTCGGCCCAACCCTCTTTTTCTTTTTATTTTATTTTATTTATGGGAGGATTGTATGCAATGAGACCATTGATTTTTATTACAAGTATATCACGTGAACTCTCACTCATTAGATGTCAAATTCGATCGTTAGGGTTAGTCACAAAGTCCGAAACAAATTTTTTCACTAGCGAAAAATATAAAAACAATATTTTCAATAATATAAAATGATCAAAATATCTCTGAAAGTTTCAATAGGTATTTTGGTCATTATATTTTATGAAAAAATTATTTTTAATATTTTTTATAGGTGTGCCCAAATGAGAAGATGGCATATACCAAATTTTATATTCATAGAATTTGTATAAAAAAATTAAAAATAAAATACTTTGACACATTGGATCTAAGATCAAATGGTGAGTGCTCTATTGGTCAAAATTGGACAGTATAGATGGTAGAAGAAGCATAGATATTTTATGATGTAGTTTACTTATAAAAACCTTTTTTTTTTGACTTCATTGTATAAAAAGTAAACAGTTTCTTTATATATTTTTTTTACTTTTTTCATTTATTTTTGAAGCGGCCCGAAACTAAGAGGGCCAGGGCTGAGCTGGGCCACCAGCCCTATAGGGACAAGGGCCACGACAGGCCACGGCTGGGTCCTGCCACTTGTCTAGATGCTAGAGTAGGTATTATTTTCCAGGAAAACATAGCATTTATTTCCCAAAACGGAGGACTGCTTGTAATAATTTCCAATTTTTCTGAGTCACATTCTATTAGATGTGCAGTGGCATGAGTTGGCACAAGCTCACCAAGCCTGTCAGACTTTTGTCCAATATTTACACCTTATTTGAACACCTGCAAAAACATATTTATGTGCAACATTAATTGTTATGTATTTTTCCTTTATACAATATGACACGCTGATTATTATTTATCACTAATATATAGCATTGATGGGACAAATACTTTAGGCCTGAACTTATTCCTTTGTCCCTTTTTTTGTTTTTTTCCTTAATTTTTCGAGGGTCATGTCTCGAATCTCGGCCACATCTCCTTGAGGCCGGCTTAAGCAATGAAAAATGTTGCTTAGGTTTAAATAATATTCAATAAAACGGATCAATTAATTCCAAAAAGGTAAGGGGAAAGAAACATGATACCCGAATGGAGTATAGAGTAATGCCAAAAGATGTAGAATGCTCGTGCAGGAGTAGATTGCTCATTTACTCCCTTGGGTAAATTTCTATCTAGAATTAATTTTAGGATCCCAAATTTTAGGATGTAACCTTTTTATCCATTAATCTCAATAAAAAATATTTCCTCATTGATCGTTTATGCACTTGAAAATACTAGTAGCTTTGGGATTAAATAGAGACTGTCTAATTTTTAGATGGTGAGATCTACGTGTTTGAAAATTCGAATTTCAAATTGTCGTTTTTAGAATAATCATCAGGTAAAACCTAAGTGGTTCCCAAAATTTCGTATTGAAAAATAGGTCTCTGGACCAAAGAAGTCGAAGTAAACTATGCTCCCGAGGGAGCATAGTGTACTCGTTAAGTAACATAGATCTATCGATTATGACATTCATGTATTATAAATTGATGTTTTCCACATGTTTTTGTTTCAATGCTGCCTGAACATGATTTATGGCCATATAATATTCCAAATAAGGCAAGCTGTCGATTGGCTTAGTTCCAAATACTCCAAAAGAGGCTAACCAGGTGCAAATCCCTGCCGTCCATCAATCCAGATTCCATAAATCAATTTTTTGCTCCTCTCACGTGCAGCATAAGGCATGAGCAATATGGTGCTTATGTAATATTTATGCATGAGTTGGGTCCTATTCTTATTCATGAGCTTAACACTTCACATTAAAAAACATATGAACTTCATACTCCACGTGGTATGGTTACAGTCTGCTTTTGTCGGATTTTTTTCTCTAAGAAAGCATCTTTATAATCTGATAAAAACTAAGGTTTGGAAAAATATAAAAAGCAATGAAAAAAAAAGAGAGAGTAAAGTACCAATATTTATATAGTTCGATAAATTCCGTACATTCATAAGACATCAAACTTCTCTTCCACTAATAAGAAAAATACCATGCACGTATGGATAATATATTATTTTATAAGACTATCTCTCACAAGCCCTAAAATAGGGTTTTTATCTCTCTAGAGTATCAACCCAAAGGTCTAAAAAAAACTCGCTTTTCCTCTCTGTTTTACATATGGAAAAGGTTTCTATGCTTCCCCTACAGTATAGAAGTTCTATCCTCCCCCTATCATCCAGCCGTTCAATTTTAATCAAGAGAGCCACTCACCATTTGATCGTAGAGACGTCTCAAAGCATTTTATTTTTAGCTTTTTTTTATACAAATTGTATGAATATGAAATTGGGTACGAGCCATCTTCTCATTGGGGCGCACCTATAAAAAATATTAAAAATAATTTTCGATAAAATATAATGATCAAAATACCCCTTGAATCTTTCAGGGGTATTTTGATCATTTTATTTTATTGAAAATATTTTTTTTATATATTTGTTGCTAGTGCGAGTTTAATAGAGGAATGAACGTCTAAAATTTGGTGTCAAAATAATTTATAGCAAAAAAATTAAAAATAAAATAGTGGAAAGACATGACATTATGATTGGGGCAATCTTAACCCTCTATTCAGAATGGACGGTTGGATAAGAAGAAGGATAGAACTTCTATGTTGTAGGGGAAGCATAGGAAGCTTGTCCTTTACATAGGTATACTCTCTCTCTCTCCAAAACACTTTTACAACGAGGAACGCAAGAGGAGACCCATGCAAATGCTCTCTCCGTCATCCGTTCCTTTAGGAATCATATTACTTGTCTGTCTTCCGTAGGAATATCGTGAACTTATGAGCCTAAAAGATTTCATACCCAAAATGTAGGAACTCCATAGAAGAAGGGAAATTAGGTATACATCAAATATCTTAAGTTTCTCCCACTTGAACACATGTTTTCATCTAACTAGTCCGCTTCAATTAATTGTTGCTCACTAATTATTAATCATCAAGAAACCTCAAACCCCAAGGAATTTT